CTTCTTTTAGGTTTTTTTAGCCACACAGCTGGCGAAGGAACAAGCTAAACAGCATGCCAGCTAGCTAGCTAGCTAGCTAGCTAGCCAGCTAGCTAGCTAGCTAGCTAGCTAGCTGGCTAGCTATTCTGACTGCGGCAACTTTTCTGCTGCGTCCGTCTCCTTTTAAGGCCCCTTATTTTGCGTGTCTCCAGCTGGCAGCAGCAGCAGCAGCAACAGCAGCTGCAGCAGCAGCAGCAAACTTGCTTAAGCAGCTGCTAGCAGCAGCCCCAAACCCTGGACCCTTAGGCATCCCTTTCCTGCGAAGATATCAGCGGTCACGAGCTAAACCCTAGACCCTAAACCCTCGAAAAAGCCTTTGTTGCATGCTTGCTGCGGGCCTAAGCCCCGAACCCTAAACCCTAAACCCTAAACCATGAGCTGCGCCCTTGCAGTGGACCTGAACGAAGACCCTAAACCCTAAACCCTAAACCCTGAGCTCAGTGCACATACGTTTACTAGTTCGTGGGTCTAAAGCAACTGGGTTTAGGGTTTAGGGTTTAGGGTTTTAGCAGCCCTGGGGTTTAGGGTCTAGGGTTTAGGGTTTCGGGCTTGCGGTTCAAGAGCTGCTGGGCGAACACGGCGGAAAGAATGCAAAACCCTAGACATGAAACAACGAAATAAGTTCAAAAACCCTAAACCCTAAACCCTAAACCCTAAAACCGAGTGTTGGGCGACGAACTGTAAACCCTAGAGCCTCGTCGTGAGACAGCAGCGAGCGCTGCGGGGGTTGCAGCAAACCTTCAGGGTAAACCCTAAACCCTAAACCCTAGAGCCTGAACTTAAAACCCTAAACCCTAAACCCTAGAACTTTGAAAGAACTTAATTTTTTTGCTGTGTCTGAGACTTCTGTTGGCTGCTGCTGCTGCTGCAGCCAGCCAGCGGGGCCTCCTGGGGGGCCCCCACTTGCTGCAGCAGCAGCAGCAGCAGCAGCAGCAGCAACACAACAATATCCGCGTAGTCCATCCCTTTTACCTTTCTTTTCTCCGTGCTGCTCTCTGCAGCAGCCCTCCCCTCCGCAGCAGCAGCAGCAGCAGCAGCAGCAGCAGGAAAATGAGCAAGCCCGCGGTTTCTGCGGGCAGCAAGAGCTGCCGGAACGGAAAGCCGGCAGCAGCAGCGA